TGTTTTTATGTTATATTGACTGCTAGTGTTGTACAAAGCAATGTAATCATTATGACTGTCATAGCGATGGTTGGCGGAGCTCTAATTGCTGCCAGGTTTGCATCCCTGTCCTCTATCACTGCCTTATACTGTCAATTCTAATCGAGTGATAATAAAATTTTTTATTTCTTTTTTACTATTTTTATAGCAATGATTTAGCTTTCGATTTGAAAGGATATGCTTTTGTCTTAAGCAACGACTTCTTCACCGCTTCCAACGGCGTGTTTATGAAACAGAAACTCGACTCCAGAGTATGTCATTAATGACACCATTCCTATGATTATTGTTATCCTGATATCCATTTATCTTTTACACCAATACATTACACAATCACTATATCTATTAAAGCATCCGTTTATACGACACTAAACTTTTTAATACTTTTCACTAAATTTACATCACTTTTGATGATTATATTGTATCAGTATTGAGAAAGCAATTAATGTTTTTATAAATATATTAATAGGAACTGGGAAAATATGGTCTACTCTACTATAACTCGCTGTTTATGATAATACCATTGCTATTGCTTTCTTGGAGTACCGGAGATCTGAGCCGATCCATTGAATTCAATGATTGGTCTGATTTAGGATTTATAATATCATTTCTAACCTCATGTGTGATGGGATTTATTCTCATGTACTCCACCGTATTGTGTACCGCATACAACTCAGCGCTCACCACAACAATAGTGGGCTGTTTGAAGGTATGGTTCAATAGGTATTCCTATGGCTTATCGCTAACTATTCTAATTAACCCGTATTTTACAGAATATATTCGTCACATACATCGGGATGTATATCGGAGGCGATTATGTGTTCTCAATGACTAACTTTATTGGTCTCAATATATCAATGATTGGGAGTCTTGTCTATTCATACTTCACTTTTATTCAGAAACAAAAGCCTTTGCCTTAAACTCAGCCATTATATTCAGTCATTAAGTTTGGTTTGATTTTTGCTGTTTTTGGTCGCGTTTTTGTTGATATTATGTGTAATAATGTTTTGAGTCATTATATGATTTCAATTATACTTAAGACACATTCTTATACTTTGAACCAAATGTTCAATTATTGCCAATCAATTGCAAATTAATCTTAATTTTTATTTATTTTGTTTGCAAATATTTATTTGTTTTAATTATGCATTAAATTTTTGATCGAATCTGATATAAGATTAGAGATCTATAGGTACAATAAGTTATACTTAAAATAATTGTTAAAATTTTCATATTCAATTTTTTGTAATCATTAATTGAATAAAGATTTTGAAATAATTTATTATGCTATAGAATTATTTTTATGCAATTTGTATGTTTTATAAACAAATTAATTTGTCTTTAACTAAATGGATGGAAGAATTCATTACTCATTATATTAATTCTAATAATAAACTATCAATTATTATATATACAAAGCAAACAATACATGTTATTATGGCTGATGATTATGACTCGCATTTTAGGTCATCTCATAATCACATAATTCTCTCTCTCTCTCTCTCTCTCTCCCTAAACACGAATCTCTTTTCTTTCTGTTTTGTGTTTGGCGTCGACCGACCGATGCATTCACTAATTGAGAGCAGAATTTAAAAAGAAATATGAATTAAATTTTTGTGTGGATTATGTTATTAATAAATACTGCACACAATATACACTATAAATATTTAAAATGCAATATCTAAGAAATTAATATTTCTGAAATAAATAACATCTTATATAAAATAAAAACTTTTTTCGTGAATAAGTTATTATTATAAAAGGCATATCAATCGATCGTCAGCTCATATTTTGTATGATATGAGTGGTACAGCTTTGAGTGTCATATATAGTGCGCTACTATAGCTGAATGTATGTAAAAATTGTTGTGTCGTTTCACTCATTTCTGGGCATTAAGTTTGCAAAAAGAGATTTCATTCAAAAAGATCTGGTCTTTGCTTTAAACTTTCGCTCAAAAATACATTTCAACACAAAATTCAGCGAAACCTTACACAAAGTTTATTCATATATACACAGAATATTCTGTATATTCTATGTGTATATTCCATTTGCTTCACACACTATCGTGATTTGCGCCCAAAATATCCTAATTTCAAATCTTAAATCGTTTTTCATAATAAATACCATTTATTAAAATAGAGATTTGAAGCGAATTTGAATTTATTAAAAAAGACAAATGGATTTTAATTTAACATAAAAATTATATCTCGAATAAAATATTGAATTTAACGCTTCAAATATAATTGCTTTTATAAATCGATACGAAAAATCTTTTCTTATTTCCTATGAATTATGATTTACATAAAAATTGATGCAAACTTTGACTTTATGTGAAACTACAAAAATTGATAATTAAATAATTTATTTAAGATCATAAACGAGAGTCGGATTTAATTGAATTTTGATTGACAATAAAACATGTTTTTAGAAATGTATTTTAAAAGCATGGAAAACGATTCGTTAAAATTTTTATATCTTTTAGTTTAATAAAACGGATAAAAGTTTTAAGCGAACGACGAATGCATTTGAAAAACTGCGAGAGAAGTATAAAAACAAATCATTTTTTGCTCCATTTCCTATTTGGACAATATATTCAATAACTATAAACCAGAGTTTCAAATCCAAAAGCCATTTAATATCGCTTTTTTAGAAAATAAAAAACACTTTAAAGTTAAGTCAAACGCTATTCATGACTTGAGATAATGATCATCAATTCTATTCAATCTTAAGGGTATTATATTCAATTAAGTTTTAATCATTAAATCTTATTGTTAAATATATTTTTAGTTTTATACACTTTATTGTTTGTTACAATATTGTAACGTTGTTTAGAAATTCTTACAGTTTTATTTATTTTAACTAAGAAACATTTATAAATGTGATAACATGTGAATATATAAACTGTTAATTTAGTAATAATACAACTAACATAACTTAAGTTTATCATATTTTTAGAATTAACTTGTGTTGCAATAAACCTATTTCTATAACATATACACAATAAAAGAAACGAAAATATTAAATAATTATTCATAAAACTACAGTCATTTTGATTCTTTAATTACATCTAAGAACTTCTAAGAAGTTCTAAATTTAACTATTATGTTACTCAACACTCAGTTATAATGTAATACTTAATATTTAAGATTAATTTCTTTATAATCACATTTTGATGACAATCCTCCTTAATATTCATCGAGTCAATGAATTAAGGGAGAGAGAGAGAGAGAGAGAGAGAGAGAGAGAGAGAGAGAGAAAGAGACGATTCTATAACCTTTAAATAAATAAATAAAATAATTTATAGATTATATTATAATAATAAAGAATCTAAAAATGCCATAAAAGAATTTAAATTCACAAAATAATAGAATTTTATTAAATTTTGTTGTATAATTATTTCAATAATTGAGTTAATATTATATTCTCAACCAACTAATGATCATAAAAGAGGAATTAATGCCAACAATTTGGGAAAAGAAAAGTGAAGTCTTTGTAAGTCTTATTCACAATCAAAATTTGTCTCACATTTGAATTGCAAAATATGTCGCTTTAATTGTAGTCTGAGTTTCAGTGAATCGAAAATCTCTTTTTCTCGTCTGAATACCATTGAGTTATTCACGATTTTCTTTATGTAGTCTTTGTTGCATTGAAAGTTATTTGGAGTTAATTTATTTGGTTTGAAGTTTTAGTTTATTTTTACAAAATTCAATGTTTATGTCAGTGAACACTGAACACTGAAGGCATCTGAGAAAAAGTTTAATAAAAATTAAATATTCTTATAATTTCTTCTATTCATTGGTTTCATATCTATGCAAATGTCATACAATGCAATGCAAGCTATATTTATCTTGAAATCAATACAAGAATTTTAATACAAAATTCAAATAATAGTATTTCTTTAAAAAGATTTGTACGAAACAAAAACAATATCAAAAAAGCTTTATATTTGATATTGTTTTGAGCGTTTTTAACTTAAATTAAATTCAAGTAAGAACAAAAATTATGATTAATTAGTTTTGTCATTAAAATCAGAAATCTGTTCACAAATAATATCTTAAATTATAGTTTGGTGCGAAAAATTCTTTGAATATGTTGTTAATTATTTTTTGCTCATTTTTAGCCTAAATAACAGTTATTAACGGATACTTTATTTGACACAATCAACCATTTTCTTAATGAAAGTTTTTGGTAATAAAATATTTTGGTCGCAAAACTCGATTGCAAAACTGTTTTGAAAAATGATTCAAACATACCATCAAAGGTATTATATTGTACTCCAACTGTATATAATGTATTGCAATAAAAGGCAATTCAGTCGACAATAATACACATGAATTGGAGAGAATGTAACGAAAAGTATTATTTTCTTTGAATTGCTTCTAATATTTAGCAATTTATTGGATTCTGAATTTAAAGTGTAATGCTTTTAATTAATGGAAAGGGAGGGGTGGTTGAGGGCAAACATATCGATCAATGTTAGTCTTGGTTTGCAATCCATTTATTATTAGAATTGAATGCATTGAAAGTGATACTCATATCATTGGAGTCATTATTATTGACTTATCCATTCATTTATTGAAATAAGACATTAGAAGCAAAAACTATCATTAATTTTTGTCCCGTATTTGCAATCATTGCGCAAAACATGTACTCTGTGTTTGACTTTCGGCAACAATTGCAACGAATGATTGTTTTAATATCGATGTGATGTTAGGATTAATAAGAAGTTGTGTTTTCAATATGAATAGAAAAAAGAAACGCTTTTTTATTGATGAAGTGATGTATACAAGTGTTGAATGGAAATGGACTTCGCATGAAAGACTGGACCAATACTACAGTAGTGTCTGTTTTGACAAAATTACTCTTTGAGAAGAATAATGTGAAAACAGGTTTCGATTTAGAGGACAGATATTGTAAGTAATAATGTATTGAATAAAATGCACTAAAATAGTTGTCCGAGAATTGGATCGATTTGTGTATGAGTGTGGCTGAAAGATGCAGTTCCTAACGCTCTACCAGTGCTACCAGTGCTCTGCCAGTTATGTACACTTTTACTACTCGTCTATACAGTGGAGTAGAGATTCTGTAGCATATAATACATATAATACACACACAGTTTGTGCTGTTTTGCTCAGTTATGCGGCCGTTGAGGGCATTCTTGCCGCGGATCTCCTGTAGACAGAGCTGTAGAGCTGTGGTGGTTGTGATGGTTGTTGAGGCAGTAATGGTGCGATTGAGGCGGTGGTAGAGCGTCGGCGCCAGTGATGGCAAGCAATGGATTGGGTGATGGTTTGGGTGTTTCGCAGGATTGAGAGGCTCTTGAATTGCAGAGACGGCAAAACTTTTCAGATTCATTTGATTCGTTTTAGGTCTGCGCCGATCTGTGAATAAGACTTTTTGCCAGACTTTGGTTTGGTTTGCTTTGGATTTGTGTGTGAATTACAGATAACACTCACACGCTATACGATAACCTTAAGTACTTCTAATACATTAACAACTGTTAGTCAAACTTGAGTCCTTATTTCGATATCAAATATGTGTTCATGTCTTCACAAATAGTTGCAATAGTTGTGAACGTGTTTTACACAATACCAGTGCAACGAAAGTACTGGCCCTAAAGAGTTGCAGCAGTTGTTGATAAGATTGTGCACTACTGGCAATCATTTACACCCAAAAGCTTTTCACAGCTCTTAGATATAAGAGATTTTGCTATATATTTAATGTTTATATTTTTGATTAACACTTAACTGAATATTTGTGTTTAATCGACGACTACTTAAACTTACACTCGACTCCCGTTCCCCTGCAATATATGGTGCATCTCTGATCCCTGTGTGAAGTGGAGTGACTCCTCACGAATGCAGTGCTCGTCTGTGCATAACATCACATAAAATGTGAACAAAACTTCTCTTCATTTCTATTTTTCTCATCTTTTTATTGTTCGCCTTTTATATGATTTTCTTATTTCTATTTCTTT